CAACCGTCGAATATTCCAGAGTGGAAATTGGATAGTATTTCCATGGATTTTGTGTCGGGTTTGCCGAAGATTGTGAGAGGGATATGATTCAATTTGGGTAATTTTGGATAGATTGACTAGATTAGCTCATTTTATACCAATGAGGATTAATCATTCTATGTTGAAGCTAGTTGAGATGTATATTGAGGAAGTTGTGAAGTTGTATGAGATATCGTCGAATATTGTATCAGATGGAAATCTGGGATTTACATCGAGATTTTGGGGGAGTTGCAGACGCTTTGGGTATCATGTTGAAGTTGAACTTTACCTATCATCCGCAGACGGATGGACAGACAGAGAGAACTATCCAATCTTTAGGGGATTTTTTGAGAGCTTGTGTGTTGGATCAAGGTGGATCGAGGGATAGTTATTTGTCGTTGGTTGAGTTTACCAACGATGACAGTTACCATTCTAGTATCGGAATGGCACCGTATGAGGCTTTGTATGGTAGGAGGTGTAGGACTCCTTTGTGTTGATATGAGTCAGGCGAGAATGTTGTACTCGGACCTGATATTGCGTAAGTGACGACTAAAAAGATCAAGAGGATCCAAGGAAAAGATGAATGTTTCACAGAGTCGTCAGAAGAGTTACCATGATAAGAAGAGGAAAGCACTTGAATTTTAAGGGGGAAATCATGTGTTTTGAGAGTTACGTCGGTAACTGGTGTTGGCCGAGCTTTGAAGTCTCGAAAGCTCACACCTTGGTTTGTTGGCCCGTATCAGAGTGGCGCATCGGAAGCGTGGGAGAAGTAGCATGTTAGACTGTTTTACCGATGTCGTTTGTGAAATTGCATGTTGTGTTTCATGTGCCTAAGTTGAGGAAGTACATTGATTCAGATGGATGGTATACAAGTGAGATATAACCTGATTGTTGAAGCATTGCTAGTTCGGATTGATGAACCAGAAGCAACTTCAAGGTAAAGAGATTACCTTGGTAAAGGTAGTTTTGTGAGGACCAGCTGGAGAAAGTTGGACTTGGAGGCGTGAGGATCAGATGAGGGAGTCGTATCCGACTCTATTTCCTTGAGGTAATTTTCGAGGACGAAAATTCTTTTAATTGGGGGAGAGTTGTAACACCCCAATTTTAATCGGATTATTTTAATTAATTTATTTAATTGAGAATATTCGTATTTTGGGTGTTTCCGGTGATTTTTGGTGTGTTGTGTGGATTATTGAGAATTATGCAATTTGTGGGTTATTTATTTAATTGATAGTATATAATATTAATTTATTAATAATATTATGAATTAAAATAAATAATAGTGAAAGAAGGGTAATTTGGACATTTGAGAGGAGTAAGCCCAATTATGTGGCCCAAGTCTAGGTTTAACAAAAAGGGGATTCTGAAAGGTTTTAGGATTCATTTTGTGTTAACCATGAAGAATTGAGGCCAGAGAGCTCTGAAGAGGAAATTGGAGGCGGAAGCGTTGAAAGATTCCCTGACAGATTCGTGAAGACTTTGAATCGACATTTAAGGTATGGGGTGTATAGCTTTTCATGATTTTCCATGTATTCCTTTCGATGTGTTTATGGTTGATTTAAGATTTAAGGGATTTTGGGTTGACTGTGGAAAATAGGGAAATTGATAGTGAGACCCTGATGGTTTGGTTAGTGGTAAGTATCACTGAATACTTGATATGAGAATTAGGAAACCTTAGGCCTTCATGGCCAAAACCTTAGATTATTATATGTCTGACCATAAGGGATAGGAATATTTGATATGACAAATTATGATGCCTTGGGAGCAATTGTAGGGAAATTGTGCCTTCGTGGCCGAAACCTTAGATTATTATATGTCTGACCATAAGGGATATGAATATTTGATATGAGGAATTATGATTCCTTCGGAGCAATTGTAGGGAAATTGTGCCTTCTTGGCGGAAACCTTAGATTATTATATGTCTGACCATAAGGGATAGGAATATTTGATACGAGGAATTATGATGTCATCGGAGAAATTGTAGGGAAATTGTGATTTAGGACATGAATATGTTACGGGATTGGCTTAATAAACCGTAGGTTTTGTGCCTTTATCGCCTTTCAATTGTGTATATGTTTTATTAATGAATCATGTTCTGGTTCAGTAATGTCTTGATGTTTTGATGTTGCGATTTTCATGATGAATTACCATGAGGGTAACTGTGATAATATGTGATAATATGGTGAATTAACATGAGTAGGACTGTGAAGTTTATGTGATTAATAGGCGATAGTATGAGAATTACCGCGAGTATAATTATGAATTAATAGGTGATAATATGTGATAATATGTGATAATATGACGAATTAATATGAGTATGACTGTGAGCGCTACGTCATTTGTAAATAATTATACGATGATTTTATATGATGTATGATGATGATTATTTTGATGAATTGTGATGACATGATGTATGATGATGGTTATTATGATGAGTTATGATGACATGACGTATGATGATGATTATGATGATGAGCTATATATGACGTTTGATGACGATGAATATGATGAGCTATGATGTTTGATGATGATGAATATGATGAGCTAAGATGTTTGAAGATGATGAATATGATGAGCTATGATGTTTGATGATGATGAATATGATGAATGATGATGCACCTCTTATGTTATTATGAGGATGATTTGTGGCGTGGGCATCATGCATTCATGTGCATCCGGACTTCAGTTCAGGACCTCGATTACTTTGGCTTCAATCCCATTGTGTGGATGTGAAGTGTTTTAATGTGCTCCGGTTCTCTAGTAGAATAAATCCTATTGATGGGGATCTATGGAGGGTTGATGTCCCAGTGTCCATTGCGCTGTGATGATTGGTACCACATGCATTGAGTCTTGTTGTATTATATTTATGAGTCTTTTTGTATAAATTATGATGTTGTGGCTTTCGAGGCCTATTGATGAATATGAAGGTTGAATATGATTATGATGCCATTTATATGTTGATTTTTATACATTGATCATTATGAATCATTTTACTCACCCTGCCTGTTTGAATGTTACCTCCACGTAGGTAACGTGCAGATACCAGATTTAGTTGTTGATGTCGTTGAGGACTTTTAAAGTTTTGAGTTGTTGGTCTTTGGTCAACTTAGGGTCTTGCTCTGATAGTGTAACATCGGGTTGGGGGTCTTGAGTTGAGTTATGTTTATTGAGTTTATTTTTTATTATCTTCCCGTATGAGTAAAACCTTGATTAGGCCTTTAAGTTCCGCTGTTTTGTGTAATTTGAGGTATTTTGAGAAAACCCGTTGTACACAGAGCATTGACTTAATTTGAGTAACATGAGAAATGTACGCCCTTTTTGGTGACTTTTTATGAATTTAATATTTTACTCTGAAATCTGTTATTTTGCCGCAATACCTGTTGTGTAGAAAAGGGTGTTATATATATATATATATATACTCTTTTGAAGGGAAGAGGAATCTAATCTCTTTAGAAAAACAATCATATATGTAGTTTCTCACAACTCTACGTTAATAGTTTTTAAACACCATCAAACACTCTACGCACCGCAGATAACCCTATAAACTTAAGGTTATCCTCATTATACTTTTTATCAAATACAAAGAGTAACATTAAAAATAGAATTTAATTGCTATACAATGACTGTTATATTTCAATTACAATTTAACTTTGATTTTAGTTATTTATAAATTTAATATTTGAGTGGTTATAAATTTTAATTCAAAAATATTATTAAAATTATTATAACAAAAGAATTTTATGATGCTTTTATAATGCTTTTTTGTGCTGAGTTATGGGACATCCTCTTCTAAAATCAACATGGAGTTTTTATATTCTAATTTATAAACTTTAAGTTTTAATTAAATATCAACAATTTTTTTTTTTCATATAAACGTTACTTTTTTCCTCGATACTTTTAAATTGTGATTTCTCATATAGTGATTCTTAAAAACTAAATTTGATAAATATTTATTAAATTAGGTTTAATTAAATTTACAAATTTTTACCTTTTAATACGTTGCAATAAGTGAGGAGTTTTACTCCCTCCTTAAATTTTGCAAGTAAATAACGTATTTTTGATATTAAATTTTGAATATATTTGCTGCTTCTTTATTTAAAATATTATGTTTGACAGTTAAAAAGAATAGTAACATTAAAATTATAATGTTTACATTTATTAACCTAATATTATTATTAAAATATTATAATTAAAAATATATTAAATAGATTTGTTTTACTAATAGACTGATTTGAATCTTTTTCTTTATTGAAAATTTGATTTGATTAGTTTTGTTAAAGTAAGTTTTAATAGAAAAAGCAATTTAGTTTATTTGCCCTAATAACTAATAAACCTAAAACTTTTACTATAAAAGAAAAATAGGAGAAATAAGGAGAAGAGGTTGAAATTGGACCGAAGATTGGAGAACGAACAAAACTTAAATGCGTACAACAAAAGGAGAAAAGTATTAATTTGTGTGAATCGCCTGCAAATAAAACACCGAAAAAAAGGTAAATATTTTTTTTTTCTCTTTTATAATGCCAACATATATGATTAGGTTTATATGTTTTTTATTTAAAAGCTTAATGATCTGACTTTTATATTATAAGAATGTTGTGGTTTAAATTACTACGTGAAATGAGTCGAATTGATAGAATACAAGAGTTTGAGTTAAATCAATTGAATGGATGAAATGGAAAAGTTCTAGTTTCAACCTACGATGATCCCATTCAGCCAATAAACTAATATCTGGAAAAGAAAAAAAAAACTAATGCACTTTCAATCAAAGTATAGAAATAACATAATTGATTATATTAATAGTTATTATTATAATCAATTTAAGATGATTAATTTGTGATTATAACACTACCGTCAAAATAGCGTTAAGTTTTTAACCTAAAATAATATTGCATAAAAAGAAACTTTTCTTTTATATTAAAATAACGTTCACTTACTTTTAAAATCAGGGTTGCAAAGGAAAAGAAGGAGAACAGTCGATAACAATGACTAGCAACCAAGGAAATAAGCAAACTCTCCCATTTTCCCCTACTCGTTTCTTTAAAGTTATAACAACAACAATTTGTCAAGATGGAAAGCTTGTAAGTATTATAAGTTTATTTATTTTTCGTATTTTTGTTCTACACTTTTTCACCACATATAATTAGAAAGGAATTCATATTTCCAGCGGTAAGAAATTTGACTCATTCTTGCCATCACCACATCAATATAGATTTTTAAATTTCTTTTTTAAATTAATAAATTTAAATTATTATCAATTGAAAGGTCATTGATGTGGTCGTGATATGTGATTATAAGTATTAGAAAGATCCTAAAGTCTCACATTGGTTGGAGATAGAACATTGAAATAGTAAGTCTCACATTGGTTGGAAATAGAACATTGAAATAGTTTATATAGAGTGACACCCCTCACATTATCTACCGGTTTTGTAAGGTTGTGTTAAGTCAAGTCTCACATTGGTCGGAGATAAAGCATTGAAATAGTTTATATAGAGTGACACCCCTCACCCGAATATTGAAATAGTTTATATAGAGTGACACCCCTCACCGAGTATTGAAATAGTTTATATAGAGTGACACCCCTCACATTATCAACCGGTTTTGTAAGGTTGTGTTAGGTCATGAAATAGTTTATATAGAGTGACACCCAGAGCCTATCGATCAGACCTTGGGCTTCCTAGGAAGCCTAGGAAGTTGATTGGAGACAGAGCATTGAAATAGTTTATATAGAGTGACACCCCTCACCGGTCAAACTCTAATAATAAGCCATTCAAATTAAATGAGAAATTGTTTTCATACCATACACACATACATCATTAGTCTTTACCCTTTCATTTAAAGTGAATTGTAATTTTCAACCTTATAACTATTTCTTATAAATTTCATGCATTGCAGAGGATTCCAAACGGTTTCATTAGAAAACATAATAATGATATGTCAAATCCAATGTTTCTCAAGACTCCGGATGACAAAAAATGGGAAATGCATATTACTAAAGTTGACAAGGGCTTTTGGTTTCAAAAGGGTTGGAAGGAATTTGCTACCTATTATTCACTGGATCATGGATACATGATATTTTTTCAATATAAAGGAAACTCTCTTTTTGAGGTGTACATATTTGGCAAAAGTACACTTGAAATTGAATATCCTTTCAATGAAAATCATCATGAACAAGACAACCTTATTAAAACTAGTGATGATGACTCAGTTGAAATTTTGGATAAGTCAACTTCATGCAAGAAGAAGACTAGACCTAAATCACCAATTCCATATCCTCGTCCACATAAGAAATTTAGAAGTGACACAGGTGAAGATGTTGGAACAAGCTCCAAATTTCATGACTTTCCCAAGCATCATGTTCAAGATAGTGGTAGTATAATTTATTATCAAAATTATTCTTTAATTACCTTTTTCAATTGTCTGATTAAATTTTGAGGTTTATTTTTCATAAACATTATGTTGTTCATTATTTTTAGATGATACAGGTGATAGCATTGAACTCCAAAGAGAGGAGCATGAGCATGTGCAAGAACAAGAGCAAATAACTTCTAAAATTAATGAAGCGTTAAATAGAGCTAGAAGTTTCAAATCTAAAAATCCTTCATTCATGATTGTTATGAAATCTTCATATCTTCATAGCTATTTTTTGGTATGCTTTCAATAACATTTGATCTTATCTATTAGATATTGGTTGTTAGTTAAAATTTTCTAACTTGTAAATAAATGCAGTATGTCCCAACAAAATTTGCAATAAATTATTTGAAGAACGAGCAAAGTGATATTCTTCTTCAGCTCGCGGATGGGAGAACTTGGGATGCCAAATATTGTTTTGGAAAAATCAAAGTTGGATGGAAGAAATTTGTAGGAGACAATAGGTTGAAAATGGGTGATGTGTGTGTGTTTGAGATAACCAAAAGCAAAACTCCTACTTTCAAAGTACTAATATTCCGACTTGAAGAACCACATTTCCCTTCACCTCAAGGTATAATCCAACTTGATTTTTCTTTTAAGGTATTTTTTTTATTACCTTGCTTGATTGTAAAATAATGGTTGCGCATTTTTTTCTTTTTAGAATCAGATCAAAGAGACAAAGACATGTCTGGTGTTGAGAGTCAAACTATTATTCTTGATAAAGGTATATTTTAACATCAATATACTTCTGATTATATGATCAACCGTTAATGACAGTTACTTGTTGTACAAGAAATTGGTGAACAATTACATTTCTACTGTTTTAGTGTGTATTGAGACTAAGTTGCGTATAAAAGAGAAAATATAATGACTAACTTACACAGCAGGTGAAAAGGCGGCACAAAGAATTTTATTAAAAACAAAGACTCGTTTATCTATGAATGAAGTGCAGAACAAAGATGATAAATTCAACTCTAAGTATCCTTTTTTTAAAGTCAACATTACGCTAAATCAACGAGGAAATTCTAGATTGGTAAGTATTATTATATATTAAAAATTATACATATAAATTTTTTTGGGTGTGACAATATTATTATAAGTATAATGATATTTAAATATGGTATATTATATATTGACTCCGAATAAAACTTACACTAACATAACTTTTAAAATGTTATTTTTTAGTTTTTATTAACAAGTAAAATGTTACTTTTCAATTTTCATTAATGCTTAAAATGATGTTTGATGCAGATTGTACCAATGTCCTTCGTTAAAAAGCACTTGGATAATAAGAAGGAGCAGACTGTAATGTTAAAATTTGAGAAGAAATTGTGGCCCATAAAGTTGCTATGTTATTCCAACATGAAATCTGGACAATTTTGTAGGGATTGGAATCAATTTCAGAAAGAAAATAACTTGAAAGATGGAGATGTATGTGTCTTTGAGCTTATCAAGAATAACCATGCTTTGTTTCAAGTTCATATTTTCAGAAGCAATTAATTTAGATTTGTGGTTGCTGTAATAATTATACTTATTTATAGTTAACTTGTAATTTTACATTTGGTCAAATTGAACGTTGTTTATGATGAATGGTTGTAGTCTTGCACAACTAAAATATACATTACATTTATCTTATTTTTTAGAAACATTCAAAATAGCTCTGAAGTTGAGTCTTTTCATATCCAAATATATTTTTTAATTGAGTGTGACTTTAAAAATATGTGAATAATAAAGTTGCCCTTAAAATTTATTGGGCTATTTTTGGTTTTGAAAAAAGAGGTTGCTTTAATTACTATTAGAACTTTTTAGATATTGAATTGAATAATATGGAGGTGAAAATTTGTTCAAATTGAAAATGTAAAAGATTTTAAGATTTTTTGTGTTTCACTATAAATGGGTAATTTACGAGATTCATTGATCTTATAGTTGGAATGTTCATTTCTTTTAATTTGAATGTTGTTCTTATTGAATTTGTAGGATACACAGTGTGTCCGCACAATTGCATTAATAATATATGGCATATAGTGTAGTTAGATGCACCTCTAAATATGAAATAATATATTTAATTGTGCAATGACAATAATCATATAAACATTAGAATAATCATATAAATAAAATTTTGGTACATGTGAATATGACCATAGTTAAAAAAATTCAAATATGTATAGTAAGCTATAATAATGTTCAGTTCGGAAAGAAAGGCAGTGCCTCAGAATATTAACACATATCTCTTTTGTTTTGGGTCGGCCAAAGGCCCACAAAGATTAAGGGTCAGTCCACTCCAAATGAACCAATATATAAAAGTCTTTATGTTAGATATTTAAAGTACATTATTCTGATCTTCACTTTTACTACATTTATCTTGAATTATAAATTGACTTAAAAGTTGAAGTGTTAACCTTGTCGGTCCACTTCACTCCACGCCATCGCATCGGAGATTAGCACCACCAATTCAAGATTCAACATGTTTTGATAGTTTGCAGTAGCACATGCTAAGGAATTTCTCTTGACTATTCCTATTAATGAGTTAAACTAACATATATCATCAATAGTGTAATAATTATCCTTAGAATAGGACCTCCAAATTTTTATTAGGGATAGATTTTAAAATTAAACCATGACCTCCAAATTATTTGAGACGACCATGTGTGGAAGATGACATGTCCTAGTAGCAATCGATTAAAGTTCAACCTAGAAAAGGATAATCACCTTTCCTAGATTCTACGGAGACAAGTCAGACTTCCTAATCATGGAATTAGGATAAATCTCTCATCGATTCTAAAAGCACAAGTCCAAGGAAATTATATATATATATATATATATATATATATATATATATATATATATATATATATATATATATATATATATATATATATATATATATATATATTCTTCCTTGAAGGAAAGAGGAATATAATCTCTTTGGAAAATCATATACAGAGTTTCTCAGAACCCTACGTTAGTTAGTCTTAAAAAAACACTCTAAATACCACTGGCATCTCTACAAATATAAGGTTATCTTCATTATACTTTTTATAAAATACAAATAGTAACATTAAAAATATTATATTGGGTAATTTTTAACACAAATACTATTAAAACTATTATAATAAAAAAATTATGATGTTTTTATAATGATTTTTTGGTGCTTTTTTTAATAAGCAATTATTGTATTGATCAAAAGAGTATTAGGGGTGCTATAACCCAAATACATAGACTTCACATAAGTTTAAGACAGAAAAAAGATTTTTATACCAATCATAGAACTTAGAATTGTGATTGGGATTAAACTCCTCATTATGCTAAAACCAAGAGAAAACTTTAATATTGAAAGTAATATCATTCGCATTAGCTATAACTCCTCTAAAGATAATGTCATTCCTTCTATTCCAAATCATCCAACAATATGTCATCCAAATAATACTTAGCCATTTGCATCCAATCTCCACCAACTAACATTTTCTCGAATTGGAAAAATGCTCTACAATGTTGACTTGCTCACCTGCATCCATACCTGTCCATAAGCAAATGTTAAGTCAAACAGTCTTCATGATAGGGCAGTGGAGGAAGAGATATTCCTAATCTTCATCCCGATGAAAGCATAAAACACACACCAAGTCGTGTGTATCATGTAAGACATTACGAGCTCTGTGTTACAGACTAGTTGGAAGTTTATTTTGGAGAAGCCTCAAACATAAAGTTTTGATTTTCTCCTGAACTTTTGTTTCCCACATAAAGTTCAAAGCTTTCCTAATTGAATCATCAATCAAAATTGCATCTACACCCTGCATGATTTTTATATAGCAATTTTTGACAGAAAAAGATTTGTCCCCTGAACTAATTCATACCGTAAAATCAGAAACATCACAAAACGGAGAGATTTCACTCAATAGTTTATTAAGTCCCACTATTTCTTCAATGATAAAATTTGCAAGAACACCTTCATAAATGGTATTATGATAAACATCCCAATTTCAGACCTGTAGAGTCCAACTTCCCATCTTTTCAACCTTTATATTCTTGTTAATTTGTAACTGGTATAAGTGAGGGAATAAGGTTGACAATGGAACATGACTGGACCATTTTGTAGACCAAATTGGTATGTTCACTCCTGATCCCAGCTTAAAGGACAAATGATTTATGAAATCTTTAGCAATCTTGCTACCATTATTGTTAATCAAGTCTCACCACTATAGAGAACGTTTGGACCTCCTACATTGCAGTATATTAGACCCGATACAAATCTTGAGTTCCCATATCTATGCTCCACCAATCCCTTCCAAATTGGATCTTCTTCATTTAAGAATCTCCAAAGTCATTTTGACATTAAGGCTTTGTTGAATGCTTTGACATCTTTAATGGCAAGACCCCCCCCCCCCTCTGCTAGGGATAAAAGAAGTCTAAGTATTTGAAATCAGCTTGCCAATTACCTTCCTCAGTTTAGAAGTAAGTATCTCGGCCACCACTTTATACATATAACTAATGAGGCATTTGAGCTTGTATTCATTCTGTTACTGTGGATTATCCACCTTAGGAATCAAATTAAAAAAAGATGATGTCATGGATTTGGGCATAATTGAAGTCTCATGAAATTCTTGTATAAAATTAACTACATCAATCCCCACAATGTTTCAGCAGTGACTGAGAAAAGCTAAAGTAAATCCATCTAGACCTGGACTTCTATCTCCATCACAATCCCAAATGGCTTCTTGGATTTCTTCTTCTGAAAATTTCTCTTCAAGGACTTAGTCTATCCTTTCATTCAATTTATTAAATTCTAGGTTCTTTAATTCAGGTTCTGCATCTGTTTGGTTCAATAAACCTTGCTTTAAAGAATTTCCTTGCAGCTTCTTTGACATCTGCAACATTACCACCCTTCTTTGACTTGTTGGTAGAGAAGTTATTATGTTTAATCTTATTTTTAACTTCATCATTGAGTGGAAGAATTTTGAATTTTTATCTCCATGTTAGAGCCCATGATGATGTAACTTCTATTTCAACAAGCTTTCCTTCTAGTTCATGACTTTCAAAAACATCCTCTTGTGCTTTCATCCACAAGATTACGCAATTTGGATCTAATCGAGTGAAAGACTTGGGACAAGGTGGTTCCTTGTAAGGGAGTAGCATGATATGGTGGGTCATGTTGGTAAATCTTGGGTTCAACAAGTGTGCAGTTGGAATTAATTTGACCGTGTGAAAGCCTTGGGACAAGGTAGTTCCTTTCAAGGAAGTAACAAGAACTGGTGAATTGAAGCGACATTATTAGTGACTTGACCAACCTTTGATAAAGGGTTTTAGAGGTGGTAGAATCAACAACAAGTCATAGGATTTGTAGGGTTAGAGTTCTTCATCTCTTGTATATACACTTTTTAAAAAGTAAGGTTAATTTCAAGTATCTTAATTCGATTTTGAATTGAGGGAACACGTACCCATAGTGAGCCGATTAGGGAACTTCCTAAACAAATTCTTGTGTGTGTGTGTGTGTGTCTCTCTCTCTCTCTCTCTCTCTCTCTCTCTCTCTCTCTCTCTCTCTCTCCCTCTCTCTTTCTCTCTATCTTTTTCTCTTTTAATTTTTGTGTTTGTAAATTATTGAATTCATTGGTTGTTTGATCAATTCGATTGGGAATTATTTTTTACCACATTTTGAATTAGGTTTTATTGATAGAATCATAATCCGGTTGATTGTGATTTGTTTTTAAGATCAACAAAACAAAGTAAATTTCCAAACGATATCGATCGCACACAAAGTGTTTGATAAATTGCATTTTGTGTTTTTGTGTATTTTTTATCATTGGAGATAAACTCTACATATAGCTTAGCATTTGATCGGGTTGTGATTAATCTTTGTTGAACAATTTGTGTTTATTATTATTCAATTGTGTAACTTTACACATATCTGAGCTTTTCAATAGTAGGTTTGGTTATACGATTTGATTCGGGTTGTTTTTGTTGTGCCATAAAACTTTTGAAAACCATTTTTGCCAAAAGTTTAAATTTTAAATTTGTGATTTATTCACCCTCCCCCTCTAGATTGAAGCCTATCGTTTAACAAGCCTAGAAGAGCTTATGCGACTTGGGAGTGCGAAAGTGATTCTTCGAGTGATGGTAGCTCTACTTCAAGTGTAGAATCGACCAAGCTTTGCTATATGGAAAACATAGGAAAGAAAAAGTTTGTAAGTCACTATAAACTTCAAACTTCTCATGACTTAGCTTTTTCTCAATTACAAGAATCTTTTGAAAATCTACAAAGACAAGTCATAGATGCTTTCAAAAGATTAGCTTCAAACAAAAGAATTATTTCTCACTTAGAAGCAAAAAATTTGGAAAATGAAAAGAATATGGAAGCTCTAAGGATGTATATGTTAGATATTCTAAAAGATAAAAATGAGGATGACAAACCTTCATGGTTTGGTTTTGAAACTTGTCACGTTTGGAAAAAAAGTCAAAACTCTTAAAGCCAAGTTGGATAAGGCTTTGCAACCTAAGGTTACTTTTTC